AATGAAGAAGATAAAAACATTTTAAACACCCCAATTAGAATCAGTGAAATTGAAAATGTAATTAAAAACTTACCAACAAAGAAAAGCCCAGGTCCTGATGGATTCACTGCTGAATTTCACAGGACATTTAGAGAAGAACTACTGCCATTACTCTTCACACTTTTCAATGAAATTGAAAGGGAAGCAGTACCTCCGAATTCATTCTTGGAAGCAAGTATCACTTTGATTCCCAAACCAAGGAAAGATGTAACTAAAAAAGAGAACTACAGGCCAATCTCCTTAATGAATATAGATGCAAAAATCCTTAATAAGATACTAGCAAACAGAATACAGAGGATCATCAAGATCATACATCCTGACCAAGCTGGATTTATTCCAGGGATGCAAGGATGGTTCAACATACATAAATTGATAAATGTAATACACTATATTAACAAAGTCAAGGACAAGAACCACATGATCCTCTTGATAGATGCAGAAAAAGCATTTGACAAAATTCAACACCCATTCATGACAAAAACTCTGCAAAAAATTGGAATAGATGGTCTATGTCTCAACTTAATAAAGGCTATCTATGAAAAACCAACAGCCAACATCATATTAAATGGCCAAAAGCTGAAAACCTTCACGTTAAAATCAGAAACAAGACAAGGATGCCCACTATCACCAATCCTCTTCGATATAGATCTGGAAAAATTAGCCATAGCAATTAGACAAGAGAAAGAAGTTAAAGCAATAAAGATAGGAAAGAAAGAAGTTAAACTGTCATTATTTGCTGATGATATGATACTCTACATTAAAGACCCAAAAAACTCCACCAAAAGACCTCTTTACTTAATTGACACTTTTAGCAGAGTAGTAGGATACAAAGTCAACACCCAAAAATCAATAGCCTTATTGTACACAAATAACAGACTCACTGAGCAAGAAATTAGGGAAACAATTCCTTCCACAATAGCACCCAAAAAAATCAAGTATCTGGGAATCAACCTAACAAAAGAAGCAAAAGACCTCTACACTGAAAACTACAGCACTCTGAAAAAAGAGATTAAAGAGGATATAAGAAAATGGAAAGATATCCCCTAATCCTGGGTAGGAAGAATCAACATAGTGAAAATGGCCATACTACTAAAAACTGCTATACAGATTCAATGCCATGCCAATTGAAATTCCAACACTATACTTCACAGAACTAGAAAGAAGAATCCAAAAATTCATTTGGAACCATAAGAGACCTAGAATAGCAAAAGCCATCCTAGGCAACAGACACATAGCAGCAGGTATAACAATACCCAATCTGAAACTATACTACAAAGCCACTGTGAAAAAAACAGCATGGTACTGGCAAAGAAACAGATCTGAGGATCAGTGGAACAGGCTGGAAGACAGAAAAACAATTCCAGATGTACTCAGCTATCTCATCTTTGACAAAGGAGCTGACCATCTCCACTGGAGGAAAGATAGCATCTTTAATAAATGGTGTTGGAAAAACTGGATCTCAACCTGCTGAAGATTAAAACTAGACCCTTACCTTTCAGCATGCACTAAACTAAAATCAAAGGGGGTTAAAGATCTAATTATTAAAAAATTTGCTGGAAGATAAGTTAGGCAGAACACTTGAAGACACCGGCATAGGAAAAGACTTTATGAACAATCCTCAGTAGCACAGGAACTAGCACAAAGAATCAACAACTGGGATCTCATCTTATTAAAAAGCTTCTGCACTACAAAAGAAACCAACAGAACTAAGAGACAACCTACAATGTGGAAAAAATTTTTACCAGCTGTTCCTCAGACAAAGGACTATTATCTAGAATATATAAAGAATTCAAAATAGTCAGCCCCCCAAATATAAAGACCCAGTTCAAAAATGGGCATCTGAATGAACAGACATTTCTCAGACAAAGAAGTCAAAGCAACAAGTAAATATATGAAAAAATATTCCACATCACTGGTCATTCAAGAGATGCAGATGAAAACAACACTAAGATTCCACCTCACCCCACAAAGAATGGCTGCTATCAAGAAATCACACAATAACAAATGTTGGTGGGGTGGTGGGGAGAAAGGAACCCTTCTCCATTGTTGGTGGGAGTGCAGACTGGTGCAACCACTATGGAAATCAATATAGTGATACCTCAAAGAGCTGGGACTAGAGGTTCCATTTGACCCAGCCATCCCTCTGCTGGGTATCTTTCCAAAAGAATTAAAAGAATCATATCACAGTGATATATGCACACCTATGTTTATAGCGGCACAGTTTATAATAGCTAAAATTTGGAAATAGCCCATTTGCCCATCAGTTGGGATCTGGATAAAGATGTGGTTTTTCTATAAAATGGAATACTACTCAGCCATAGAGAATGAGAAATTAGATTCATTCATAGGAAAATGGATACATATTGAGGATATACCCTGAAGTGAAATAAATAAGTCACACATGTGTAAATACGTAATAGTTTCTCTGGTGTGAAAAACTGTAATAGTACACAAAACCCTAATGGGATAATTAATAGTGTGAAATAGGAAGAAAGGGGCTAAAGGTGTAGGGAAAGTAGGAAGAGTAGGGGAAAGGTAATAAGGGAAAAGAAAAAAATATGAGAAAATGAAAAAATGGAAATAAAGTGTGTGTAAATGGGGAGGGGAGGCGGGTATGAAGTGAGGGCAGGGACAAGGGGAAAAAAAAAGAGAACCAAGACCTGTCATGTGAAGGTACAGGATCCCAGTAATGAATGTAACTGTATTATAGACCTAGATTGTACCAAAAAACTGAATAAAAGGAAAAAAATAGAAAACTGAATTAGTAACATTTAAATGATACAAGGGAGCTAATAGAAAAGTTGAGGTTAATGATCCAGGAAAGAGGTAATGTGTAATAATACATCATGGGACGATGTAGCTCAGAACCCAAGAGAAGGAAGATATAGAAATTGGATTACTTATATTATGAATTACAAGGATGGCAGGAGGATCACTGTGAGTTCAAGACCAGCCTGGGCTACATAGTGAGTTCCAGGTCAGTCTCAATTACACAGTGAGACTCTGTTTCAAAAAACTCCCTAAAAATAAAAAAATACAGACTAGTAGGGCCATGGATTTAGCTCAGTGTCACCATGCCTGCCTCACAAGTGCAAGGTCTTGAGTTCAATCCCTCTTACAAAAAAAAAAAAAAAAAAAAAAAAAAAAAAAAACACACACACACAGACTAGTAATTCTGGGAAGAAAAGAAAAAAATAGCTAGAAAAGTTACAAAATCATAAGTGGAAGGTTTGGAAGCAAGAAAATTACATGGTAAGGAGGAATAGATCGAGATTTGTAGGGAAGAAAGGAGGAGAGCATTGTTTCCCTTCATGCTATAGACAGCTGAGATCCAAGACACCAGTAAGGAGGACAGAATTAGGAAAGAGCAGGAATCCCATTCTGATAGTTTTAAAGGATAAATGCAGAGATAAAGATTCACTGAAGTGACACGTCTAATTAAATGAGGGCTTCCATTTTACAGTGTTATTTTTAGTAACATAAGTGCTAGTGTCATCTTTCAGAATGTTTTAGAACTGCAAAGATAGATTGAATTTAAATTTAAAAATAGAAGTAATTAGCATATGTGAGGAAGGAGAAGGGAAGAAGATGAAGAATTAAGATATATTATATACATGTACCAACTCCCCATGAAGAATGCAATCATTATGTACTGCAAATGCACTAATAAAAAGAAAAATAGGAAAAAATCCAAAAATAAAAATGATATCTAAAAGATGAATACAAGAAATGTTGGGGTCAGTAAAATTATTTATTTGCCTGCCTATTAGCAAAAACCCAAAAGAAATTTTTTGTTCTGCTATATTCTTTTTTAAAATAAAAGGCAATATGAATAAATATTATTTCTACTGAAACTTATGACATTATTTCATAGTAGGTACTCAAGAAATATTTTAATTGAGTAGCTGTCACTGTGTTCATAGCAAGCACCTTAGATAAGAGTATTTAGTGGAAATATTTCAGTATGTTTCCAGAAACCAGGAATAAACGTACAGGGCCAGGGTTTTAGCTCAGTGGTTCTGCCACCTGCCTTGCAAGCACAAGATCCCAAGTTTGATCCCCAGTACAAAAAAAAAAGAATAAATGTACAAATGTTAGTGGAAAATCTCAGTGACACAAGCTAGATAATAAAAATAAAAGCATAATATAATATACTATTTCTGTGATATAAAATTTAACAAATGAAAAGAAAAACATAACTTCAAATTACACTCAAAATTACAAAATAAAATACAATTTCCATTTGAGAAAATTATCCTAACTGGTACTAGATGAGTCAATATTATAAACAACACACCAGTTTTTGTTATGTAAAAATTAGATTGGCAAGCACAAGGTCCTGTGTTCAATGCCCTGTACTAAAACAAAAAAACAAAAAACAAAAAAACAAAAAAAAGAAAAATAATTTGAACAAGTAGTATTTACCTTTACTTTATATTTTTTACTTCCTAGCCATGTTGAGAATTTAATAAAGATAAAAAATCTTGTATTAAATTTTTGCAATTCAGAGTTCACTCCTCTAAACATCTTACAGGAAACTGAAAACTCCAAAATGTTGTTTCCTCCTATTTTCTTTTTCCTCTCATGATAAAACACTTTTATAGAGAAAAAAAAACAAAAAAACAGTAACTAATGATCAGGCATCAAAAAATATGATTGGCCAAGCACTACAGATTAGACTGTATTATGCAATGAAATAAATTAGTATTTATCAACGGAAACTATACCATGATTGCCTAGGGATGTTTGTAAAACATCTTCCTTTACCAGAAAACCTAACAGACAATAGAAGTGAAAGAACAAGAGAAAAGTAGTGAACAGAATGATAGGAGCAATAGCTCGGGTGTCATGGCGGTCCTAGAGGTAAAGAAAGCAATCCTTTAACGTGTGTGTGTGTGTGTGTGTGTGTGTGTGTGTGTGTGTTTTCTGGAAGATAATGCTTAACTCCATCTAAATGAACCAAAATTATTGCCTTTGGAACATAGTCTGTAGAACACCTGAAATACAATTAGAAGCATAGATTTCTGGCTCACATTCCAGAACTCCTCTACCACAATCTGTAGTAACACAGGTCAGATTCCCCATTTGGAACACTCAGATCATTCTTGGGAACTACTGGCCCACAATACCAGGTAAAGAACAATTGTATTATTGTATCTACCAATTTCGAGGAAGTAGCATGAACATCCACTAATAAACTGATGATCTGCCCCTGTCATTTTCAGAATATACAACATTACCTCAAAACTTTTCTAAAATATTTTATTTCTTTACTAAGAAAAGACATATACCAGATGTGCTGGGCACTTCTAAGTATAAAGTGATGTTCTAGAAATGTAAGTTAAAAGAAGGAAAAGACATGGGCTCTATTCTCACAAACTAATGACGAGGGCAGATATAAATATAATAAATGCTGAGGAGCTACAGGGATTGAGGCAGAAATTTGTCTTTGTTACTCTCGGGACATATAAGGGAATTCCAGATTTGGGGGTGGCTAAGTAAGGCAAGAAAAGTCTTCCCCAAAGATGCAGTAAAGAATAACTTTGAAAACTGAGTAGTTGCTAACCATATATACATTATAAATACAAATAAAATGTCTATTTTGTTAAAGCATCAAAGATACTTTGTTTAAAAAACAAAACAAAGCAAAACAAAAACGATGTTGCCTTTGCCCAAGATTTTTTTCTGAAGTTCACTACTGACTAAATATCAAAGAAAACTATGGTTCGATACAGATGAATCCTTCTTTATTACTATCCATCATCTGTTGTAGGGCCAGGCAAGTTGGAACTATAAAGACATGCCACACTAAATTAAATGGAGTCTTTTCTTATCATAGTCCACTCTGGACAAAGGACAGGCAGTCTGTAGGGCCTTTTTAAGGGCTCTTTTATTCGGGGAAATTACAGGGAGAGGAGGAGCATCAGTGGGATTTTACAGGAGCAGAACTTTGCTAAACTAGTGAAGGTCGGAAGTTTTATACAGCTTAATTGAAACAAAATACCACACAGGTGCAGTCTTTTGTTTACAAGGCAGCAAAGAGAATCTAGTTGTAGACTTACACAGGTGCAGAGCAACCTGTTTGTAAGGCAGTAAAGATAACATAGTTGCAAACGCTCAGTGGATGGGGGGGTATATCATTAACTGAGGGGACTCCCAGGGGGAAAGGGGAAGGCGAGTACCCGGAATTACTCTGCACAAATGGAGTCAGGTTGGCTATCGCACATCCACAGCACTAGCCGTACCACAAACCAACGCCAGTTTGTGATCAGTGAAAGAGATAGGCATACAAAAACCACTGTGTCAGAAGACTCACAACAATCATAAAGCAGGAATAATAAATCAAGATTCAAATAACAGGATCAAGGCAAAGGACACTGCAAGCATTGTGAAGGAAAATATACTCTGGGTGAAACAAAATCCTCTTGAGTAAAGTCTGGCAAAGTTTAATTCTAGAATGCATCACGTTATAGGCATTCACTAGCTTTGAAAAATACAATTATTTTGTAAGTTAGAAAAAGGACAAATATTGCCATTATACTTCTGCATGAAGGCTTTAGAGGAGACTATTAGAAGAAACAAGCAGAACGTGACTCATACCTGTGGCACATCAGTTATCCTTTGTGACCCCTCAAAACATAATTTCAGCAGAAAATCAGAAAGCAGGGGGAACCGAGGTCAAACATTAACTTTTCACGTGCTGAGGAATGACTCCCTGAGCACATCTGAATATGACCTATAAAACCAGTGTCGGTAGTGATGACAATGTTCCCTCTTTACAATTAATTATACTTCACCCCGATAATAAATAGTCTGATATGAAGCATAAGAAGTTTTTTTTTGTTGTTATTCGTTTTTTTGGTACCAAGGCTCGAATTCGGACACTTGCGAGGCAGGAGGCGGAACCACTTGAGTCAAATCCCCGGTTCTAGAAACAAAAGTTTAAAAAAGTATTATCGACACCCAACACCTTCACTGTCTAGTGCTAGTAGACTTTTTTTTTTTTTTTTTTTTTTTTTGTACCAAAAGTTCAAACTCGGGACCTTGGGCTTGTGAGACAGGCGGGGAAACCACTGAGCTAAATTTCCAGCCCCCGACATTATTTTCTTTTTAAATTAGTCATTTTGTAAATGATTATCAACAGATATGATTATGTGTAAACAAGAAACCATATGCGTTACAAAAATAAACATGATGGTGATTTCAGCCATTTTCAGATGAAATCTAAAGTCCAGTATATCTGTGAACTTCTTTACAGTTTAGCAAGCTCTTATAGAAGCTGTGTAAAAGGTTAGGGTAAAAATATATAACTCTATATTTATTTAATTCCCTTTACTAATTATTTAAAGGAATTTTTACAACAAAGATGTGAATGTTAACTACGATATATCAATGTGACTTGAGTAAAGAACCATGTGATAATAGTAAATTCTGCAAACTGAGAGGGGAAGTCCCACCCTGAAGTCCATAACTAATAGGCTTATGGCCCGGATGGAATAAAGAGAAAGAACAGTGTCTTTCATTTTATTGGGAGGAGCTCTGATCTTTGCCATTGCCTTTGGATGTTGGTCTCCATTTCCTACAGGCTTCCCGCCCATATTTTCTAGCCTTCCAATGCAGACTCTGGCTTTCCAACACAGACTTGCAAGAGTGACTTTACCGTGAGTGACCTCCTAGGCCTTACACCTTCAGGGCTACTAGGACCTCCTGCTTTCCAGGTTGCAAACAGTCATTCTGCACGCTTTATCTCTCATATGGCAGATGGTAAATTAGACTCTTTCAATTCCAGTAAGCCTGCCTAATAAAACCCTTGTATGAACATATATACATTTTATATTGACTCTGTTCCTCTAGAGAACCCTAAGTTAGACAACACCTAACAGAAAGGTGAAGTCCATAATGAAAGTATTAGTTTACTAAAATATATATATTGAAACACCTCTTTCCCAAAATGTGCAACTAGAGGGGAGGATAGGATAAAGGGTATGACCGGGTGTGCAAATCATCAAAGCAGGTTATATATGTGTATCAAGCTGCCAGAATTAGACTCACTAATGTGTAGAACCAATTTAAAAGAGGGAGAAAAACAGATGATTTGGGAAAGTAAGGGGTCTTCTAATTTTTCAGCAAGATTTCTTATCAAGAATGGTCTAGATATACTTTTTTAAATCAAGACAGGTTCCTTAACACATTTGAAATTGCAAAGTATTATGCCTAGTACCTTTTACTTAATTAAATCCTCATAAACCTGTTATGAAATCTGACTAGATCATTGCCTTATGTGAAATCACCGTTCCAAGGGTAAGAGCCACAGTCTAACACTTTCAAGGAATTTTTGGGATCTTCCATTCTCTCTTCAGCCACATCTTGCTACTACATAATTTACACTATATAATTTGCAATATATTAGACTTCTTTCTGTTACTTAAGCCAATCATGAGGCTGTTGTTTTAATGCCTTTGTCTGTCCTTGGCATAAAACATTCACCTGATATGATCATTCTTCTTGCATCAAATCTCTCATCCAGTTTTTATGTTATCTTTAGATCTATATTCAACAGTTAGCTTAAAGCATCCCGAAGGCAGGGAAACTTTGACTTATTGTTTACTACTACATCTCCAGATTTAAAATACCTACCACATAGGTCTCCCTTCAATTTTCCCTCTCTTCCTCTTTCCCTCTCTGTATTCCTTGATATCCCATTCTCTGGCTCTCATTTTTGCCATCCACTTAGAAAATGAAAGGGAGGAAGGAAGGAAGGGGATGGAGAGAGAGAGAGAGATTATCCACATTCTTTCTTTCCATTTCTAGCTAACAGAAAGGACTACTTTGTACGTTATTCATGAGAGGGGGCTCCTTTTTCATGCTGAAGGAACAGTTTGAGGAGGGTCAGAAGCAGGCAATCAAGGAAGAAGAGGCACCTGCCTAAGGAGCTGAGTCACAAAAATCAAACGGCGAAACAATCAGACAAGGCAGCAAACTTACTTTCATATCTATTTTCCTTAATTTAGAAAATTAAGACTCTCAGAGTAAGAGAAATTGGGTAAAGATCCCAAGATCACATCCACGAATTGCCAGAACATAGAATTAAATATTTTCGTTGAAAGTACATGATGCACACACAAAAAGGAAGTATTTGCCATTTGAATTTTCTAAGAACAACTTAGGGTCCATTTTGATTGAAATGTTTTAATTCTCCATAATAAATGAAAGATTTTTATGTATGAAAATAACAAGACAATCTATATGGAAATACCACACCTTGTGTTTCTGATATAATTAAAGCATAGTTATGTGTTGATGCTATTTTTCAGTAGTAGTTTGATTTGAACATTAAAACCTTTTAGACATATTTCAAGGATCAATACTACTCGTTAAAAAAATACCACTAGTAAGGACATACAAATGTAAACATTCTTATTCATGTTGCTAACATATTAATTACTAGTGAGCATTTGGCAATTTTAAGAATAACTTGGAAATATCAATTATCTATAAAAGATGTGTCTCATTATCAATTTCATTCTAGAGATGTATCCTAGAGAAATATTCAAAACTTACATGTAGAATTATGTTCTTGCAACACTCTTTTTTAGAAAATTGGAAACAATTCAGAGATTCAACAATATGACATAAGCAAATTATATTTCATGCAGAGATACTGCACAAGCGATGAAAAGAGTAACACTAGAATGTGGGGAAATGTAGTTCATGATTTTGAAAAAGTGGTGGAATATTAAAAATAGCATGATATAATTTACAATTTTATATTAATATTAGTAATAATATATTTAAATTGTATTTTATGCATACAATTATTTTTAAAATAGACACAGAAGGTCACAAATAGATTTGGGGAGAATGTAAATGAATGGGTAGGGCCAGGGATTTGGCTCAGTTGTTTCACCACCTGCCTCTCAAGCGCAAGGACCAGAGTTCAATTCCCAGTAACATAAATAAATAAATAAATAAATAAATGGGTAAACATATCATTAAAAATCTTATGATATAAAAAAGATAGTGTGAAGTTATTTCAAAAAGATAATGTTCAATAGTCTTGAAGATTCAGGTAGACAAATTCCAAGAAAAATACAACTTCCCAAAAATAAGATAAAGTGACTGTAAAGTATGA